AGGATATAAAGAGTTTTTCTCAGTTATTATATTTGTATATCAATTTTATAATATTACTTTTCTTTTTTACTTTCCTCAAATAATAGTATTATTACAATTAGAATATTTTATGTATATATTTTTTTAAAAATAAATGTTTTTGTTCTTTCGTTTAGTATTAATCATTAAACAATAGATACTTTATAGAGATATAATAAGAATGTTATAGAGTTTTTTCGGACCCAGGGAGATATAGCAGGTAGTATGGTGGCTAGGCTCTGATAGCGTAGCTTACATAACAAGTATAGCGGATGTACTTAAGTAGTATAGCTTTTAGCTTAATGATAAAACAGTTTTTACAACTCAATCCATTCATTACCTATCAAATAGTATTAAAAACAAAAATACTTATATTTAGAATTAAAGATTCAAATTTCTTAAATAAATTATAATAAATATATAAAGTTTATTTCTATATATTTTTAATTAAAAAAAATTGATTAAAAACTTTTATAAATATTATTATATTTTGTTTTTCAAAAGAAGAAAACTTTAGATATAATTTATAAATAATTTATAATAATAATAAAATATCAAATCAAAAATTCAATATTTATTCAAAAGTTAAAGATATATATAAGATTATATAAAAATATAACGAATGTATTATTTATTTTTATTACAATTATAACTAATTGATATTTATTATAAAAAAAACGTTTCAAAATAATGAAATCTTTTTAAATCCTGATGATTTGATTAATCAATATAATTCTGTATATACAAGGAGTTCTAAGTTGGCGGTCTAGGGGATAGTATGACTAAGTAGATCTATTACTATTCAAATCTAAGCTCCACTACTGAGGCCGATTTGAATCATTTGGTATAAACCCCAAAAATAAATTTCTGCCTAAGCTAAAAATATATTTAGAATTTAGTGGTGTGCTTTTATATTGAAGTATTCAATTTAGTACACAACCTTAAAAAGATTAATAAAAGAATAAGAAAAAAGAGAATCCTATTAATTAGAATTCAAGAAATCGATTGATATATTTCTTTTTGAATTATTTCAAAAATTGAAATTTTCATTCAATTTAAAAGTATTCTAATAAATTTGAATAATAATAAACTTTCAATATTGAATCTTTTATTTTTCAAACAGTATTATATTAAATGAAAATTTCAATTTTCGAGATAATTCAAAAAGAAATACATCAATCGATTCTTTGAATTTTAATTAATAGGGTTTTTTCTTTTCCTTTTATTTTATCAATCTCTTTAAGGTTGTGTATTGAATTGAATGTTTTTTGAATATTGATGATATTATTCAAGGTTTTATTAGTCATCAACCCATCAGAGGCCTGATGAGTTATCAATCCTAATATTTGAGGTATCTATAATTAACGGATTCATTGATTAAAATTATATTATATTGGATATAAATTTCAAATTTTGAAATAATTCGAAAACAATTGTATTAATCGATTCCTTAAACTTGAATTAATAATTATATTACTTCTTCTTTTATTTTATAAACTCTTTTAGGGTTGTGTACTGAATTGAATTCTTTTTTTCTTTCAATATTATAAAAACTAACTAAAGCTATATTAGTCATATAATTTAAGCGAGATAAGCTTGAGATAAGGAATTCTTACTAAGCTTACTTGCTTGTTTTGTTTATTTTAAAGTGATCTATACATTATAAGGAAAACTATTTGAAAATAGATTTTAAATATTAATATACTTTCTAAAGAAAGTTTCGAAATGAATTCTAAAAACAAACAAATAAAGCTAACTCTAAGGGCTATCCAATAATATAATTTATTTTAGAAAAAATCTCTAATAAAATTGAATTTTATCTTTCTTTATAATATTTCTATAAATACATCATACAGATTTTAAAATTTCTTTTTTCATTAGGCAGAAATCTATTTTTGGGGTTTATGCCAAATGATCCAAATCGGCCTCGGTATCCACCCGAGAGGAGAAGTTAATTATATCAGCCTAGATTGAAGATTTTCAGAGCATACAGGCTAATATTGAAGGAAAATAGCTCTCGAAACGCCAAGTAATGAACACGCTTGTCAATAACGAGATATGCTCTGCTATTTCACTTGAGAATTGAGGAACCACATTAGAATCCGATGAATTTTTCGATGTCTCCGATATTGAAAGGGCTGATGTCAAAATGCTCAGAGAAACTTTGAAAAATAGTCTGACCACCAACTATTTGTTGTAAGATTGATGACAGACTTGAACCGTCACGGGAACTAATGCACGCTCCAGCCGTCAGTTCCTACGCTAGTTTGCGGTGGGGAGAATTAGGATCCACCAATTATATTAATTTCCATTCAATCCATGTGGCCGCATGCATGATACATTGATACTAGAATGCAGGCACTTCAAATAAAAATGACTTTGTTCAAAACTACATTCTCACGCCTTGAAGTTGAGCCTCATGGATGATCTTGAAGTTACTTCCCCATACTCCGAGTTCATCATGACCAAACCCAACACCTATACCAACCCTATTCTCCCGGGAAGTCATCCCGACCCCTCCATCATCCGCTCTGGCGAGAATTACTTCCTCATCACATCTTCCTTTGAATACTTTCCCGGGATACCAATATATCACAGCACTGATCTGATATCATGGAAACTCATATCCCATGCCTTAACCCGTCGTTCCCAGCTTGATATTCGGACCCCTGAACCTGGGGGTGGAATATGGGCTCCGACTATCAGGGAGCATGATGGCTGGTTTTATATTACAGCTGCGTGTTTTGATAGGTATAGGCCACAAGAAGATCAGAGGGTTTGGCCAAGAGGATTCTATGTTAAGTGTAAAGCGGAAGATGTTTTCGGGGGTGAGTGGAGCGAACCAGTTTGGTTTGATGAAGTGGGGTTTGATCAAGACGTAAGTGCTCATGTTGAGCTTAGATATTCGTTACTGTCACCCGGAAGGGAAAGTATGATGATTTGGACGCTAACAATCATGGAAGCTGTTTTTTGACGATGACGGAAAAGTCTATTTGTCAACCACTAGACGCAAGCATGAGCGTACAATTGAAAAGCCCCTCAAAGATTTTGCCATTCACGTCACTACCATTGATATTTCCACTGGCGTTTCTACATCTGTTCCCCAGGTGATTCGCTCTTCTCCGTCGGGTATTGCAGAAGGATCCCATATTTTCAAGAGAGGGAAGTTCTACTATCTATTTACTGCTGAAGGCGGTACCGAATCGGGACATTGTGAATGGGTATCACGATCATCAGCTGGACTTTTCGGACCATGGGAAATTATCGATGCCCCATTATGGAAAATCGGAGTTGAAGGTGATGAAGTGGTTAACACAGGCCATATTGATATTGTTGAAGATAAAGAAGGGAATTGGTGGGCCGTTCTGCTTGCATGTCGGCCTATAATACTAGCTGATAGAGTCAAATCTTCTGTTTTTGGTAAGAGGAGAAATTTAGCTGTCTGAATGTATATCAGCTAATCTAGAAATCTAGGAAGAGAGACTTTTCTCGTACCTATGACATGGGAGGATGACTGGCCAGTTGTAAACGAAGGCAAGAAAATTACCCTTCAAGGCGAGGGTTTAGGATTATATCAGATCCAACAACCTGCCAAGTGGCGTGATGAATTTACGAGTCCAAAGTTACAACTTGGGTGGTATCGAAAGAGTAAGTTCAGTGCATCTATGGCACTCGGTGCTTAAATGCCTATTCTCAATCGAACATGCTAATTATTACTTTAGATACTCCCCAAAAACAAGATTTCGAGATAACTACCAATCCATCTAGCTTACGATTGTTTGGAAGTCCATACACACTCGGCAGTCCAGCTTGCCCTACTGTGTTCTTTCGCAAACAAACATCTCGCGTGGGAGTTTGGTCTACTCGACTCTCCTTCAATCCTACTTCTACCCATATGGAAGCAGGAACTGTAGTATACTGGAACCATTTGACTTACGCCCACATCGGAATCAGGGGCAGTCCACAAGAACCTCGCAAACAAGTAATCACTCATATCTTCATCAACGGTCAAGCCAAAGGTCACAGCATCGGAGAGCTAAAAACCAAAAACGATGTAACGCTGTACATTTGGTGTACGGACGAAGGATACAAACTCGGCTTCAAACCATGCGACGAACCCAATGAAAAAGCCATACAATGGATGGGCGAAACAATAGTGGAGGAAATAACGGCCGATCCGCCCATAGGCGCTGCATTTACAGGAATAATGCTCGGAGTTTATGCGACTGGGAATGGGGATTCGGGTACCGTACCTGCGGATTTCAGCTTCGTGGAGTTTGATACTCTTTTCAAGCCTGATATTCCGATTGATGGGGACCAATACGCTCTGAATTATTTAATTGCGGATAAGTAAGAATTGAGGTTGAACAGTAATATATACAGAGATCAAGATTAGCTCAAACGAGAAATGAAAGCCTCAGTCTTTCATATATTTCTAGAATCTTGATAGAAACAAAGAATCCAATATCAATCCTCATGCTGCGTCAAATCATTAGAAGATTTCATTTTGTGAATAGATAATATGTGATGTGAGCGACATTCTTCAGACATTGAACATCAATGTTTTAGAGCTTGCGAGAAACAACTGGGCTAACAATTGTTTTTACATTCCCTTTCTGTGATAGACCATGTACTTCCTTGATATTATGTGATCTTGTGGCTCAGTGAAAATGTGTCTGGGTATTTACGAGACAATGCTCCTTTGTGTTTACACCCCCAAAACTAATCTCATGCCCGAGAGCTCCAAACAACATACAGTCTTTCGCCAGCACATACAACATTCAGGATTGCACAAAAGCGTAAAATAAGCAGAGACAAAACTCTTTAATTAAATGCATAAATACTGAGCAGCATCTCATATTAACTAATTCCTCATCATAGGGAGGTAGGTACAAGCCAGTCATACCACATGAGTCCATTCGATATAACCCATCAAACCAAATCGCGACTCATATCCCAAAACTCAATAAACATCTCCGAATCTAAACCTTCTCATGCATAACGATATTTTCATTTTCCACCCCCGCAATATCCGCGCCTTCGGTCTCAACATGCTGAACATGCGCATGATGAGCATCCTCAACCCCAAGCTGCGCCCCTCCTTTCTCAATATGGTTTACGCCTCCGAAGAGCACGTCCATCTCTTCCAACATGATGTTCCTGGTTTCTGGCACCACGAAAATGACGAAGAGGGCGAGGAGACAGTTTATACCGCCGAAGAAGAAGAATGTGTTGCTAGAAGAGGAGATGTTAGTCATTTCAAAGATAAGAGAGTGCGAGGGAGAGAAACTTACAAACTGCACTTCGCCAAGAAAACGGGGAAGAATTGATTGAAAATCAAATTCGACACGTTTTGCCATTGACTACACATACCCACGGCCTGGGCTCTAACATTCATACTGAAGATTTCGGAGGTCCAAATCCAAGTTGTGGCTCCCCAAGTAGGTTTATAGAAGAAGATGAACAAGAAAAGTAAGAATGTTAGTGCGATTCCGACGGGTTGATCTTTGGTGAGAGTTTTCGTTGTTCCGCTCATGTAGTATGAATCTGGTGTTGCGATTCCGACGGCGGCAAAAGCGATCATGCAGAGAGCCATTCCGAATCCTCCGACGATGAAAAGGAATTTACGTCCATAACGATCGACGGTCCAGACAGCGTTGAGAGTGAAGATAATACCACAGGTACCGTTGATAGCGTTGATAAGATTGATAGTTTCGGCATCTTTGTAGATTCCCTTGTAGATAGCTGAGGAATAACTGTTGAGACTACCCTGGCCAGTAAGTTGTTGACCGGCGTTGATGACGAAAGCAATCCACATTCTCTTGCGGACGGATTTATCCATCCACAAAGCCTTGTAAGAGCTGGTTGACTTTTGTTCCTTTTCGTATTCGAGCGCTTCTCTAATTTGGAGGAGTTCATCTTCGACTTCTTGTTCAGTGTCGCGGACTTGGAGAAGGGCATGGCGAGCTCCTTCAACATTTCCGTGGGAAATGTACCAACGAGGAGTTTCGGGGATGAAGGGGAGGAGGACACAGATGAGGATTGGAACCATCATTTGGAAAATGACAATTGTTTTCCAATCCCAATCTCCGAGAGCAGCGGAGTGTTTTCCAGTGGCGAAGGCAATCCAATAGGCGATGAAAGAACCGACTGAGTAGAACAATTGCCAGAAACCCATGATTTTACCACGGATCTCGGGTGGTGCAAGTTCACCAATGTAAACTGGTCCGGCGGCTATACTATTGTTAGATGTAATTTCGTAAAGTATTCTGATTGATACATACTCAAAGCAATTCCCTGTCCAAGACCAATGATGACACGACCTCCGATGAAGGCATTCAAGTTTCCTCTTGGTGCAAAACATTGGACGAATGTAGCAATGATAGTTAAGAAACAACCGATTCCCATTCCCCATCTTCGTCCGAGTCTATCGGCCTAAGTCATGTTAGCATATAAATGCTTCGCCAAATGATGGATATTCCACATACAATCGGTCCACCAAAGAAGAATCCAGACACGATACCACCGATATTGTAAGAAGTGTTGACGAGACCGAGGGTGTATGTACTCTGGAGAATGTTAGCATCTAGTCGTTACTCGATTGAATGATTGTGTCACTCACGGGCTTATCGAAGTATGCAACCCAATGTTTGGAGTTTTGACAAGCATTGAAAACGGAAGCATCATAACCGTACAACACCATACATGCGGCTGCCACCATAGAGATATACCTAGAGAAAAATTAGAGCTTTGTTCAACTGTTTGAAGTTTCCAGATGATACTAACCAATTGTACCATCTCTTATTAGTGGTGTTGAACATCTTGAATTTGTTCTCCTATTCACAACGCTGATTGACTTTTCTTGTGATGAGACAGCGGGCACAATTGAATTGAACTCCTCAGTCGATTGACTTCTTCTGCAATTGATAGCAAGAAAGAAGTTACAAAGGTACAATGGATGAGATAGAACTGACAAGCAAGTGTAACCTCGATCAAGGGGTTCGAATTGTATATATACTTATCGTTTTTCCCCATGGGACTTTGATAGCTATAACATGGTCTACTGCGCCGTACGATCTTTTACACCGTTCCCAAGGGTTTACTTCCACACGGAAATGATTGAGGTAATAATTGCACCAATCCGCACTCAACATTTTTTGTCATTTAGTTGTGGCGTTCCAATAGCGACACTCGCCTCGCACTAATTGATATTAATCCTGGAGTCGTCCTGGAGTAATCCTATAGCAATCCCAGCAATCCTGGAGTAATCCTGGAGAAATTACCTGCACTTGTGGGGGACTTTTTCCATATCCGTGGGGAAATTCCCCCAGATAAGAACTGGCCGAACTTTATTGGGGTCATTGGGGTAAACCTCCGCTGGTGCGCGAGTAAGCATACATGGGGGTACGAAACATGCTGGTACAGCATTTCCAACACTTCGTATTGATGAATCAAATCAGAAGATATCGAGAAAATCTGGAGCTTCCAATATGCGGGGAAGTACAAAAACAATATTTACAATGCGAACTGTCTTTGGTAAAAGCAGGGGACCAAATCCGCTTGGATTCTTCACGTGGAACTGGAAGACTATCGTTAATCACCAACAAATCATGCATATTGGTATTGTTCGTAACAAGAGCTAATTCGTATTTCTCTTCTAATCATACAATAATAATCTCTCTCTTCCCCAACAACGCCAAGTGCTCCAGTTTTTCCGTCCGTCTATCCTTTGTTCGACATAGCCTGAGATGTCCATGTCTCACATGGAATTTTTGATGTTTCCAGCCGCAACTACTTGCTTTTCCCATCCGTGAATAGTATCCAGTAGAATCTGTAACTCGTATTTGGAGTCGTTGGGAGAATTTGGAATCGGATCTAGGAGACCATCTTTCGATTGGTATTTGGTTCCAAGAGATTTGATGATACCCCATGCACGTCTGAACTCATCTCGAATTGATACAATTCCATTGTGAGTCACTGTACGTGCAATGTTATGCTCAATCTCGAATGGATCTTCTATTGCTAATAGATATCGATGGCGAACCTCCTTAATTTCCTCCATAGTCTTAGGGGGCTGTTTACCTTCTGATGCGGCGGACACACTAATAGTATTATCCTTCGTAACGTTTGGAGTCGCGGGAGTCGAAAATGCTGGTGTTGAAGGGGTAGGGGGAGCTGCGATTTGCGTGGTTTCGACGACCGTTCTTGCACCAACCCATCCTTTCTCGTGCTTGCTAAGGATACCATGATTTGATCGTAAACTCAAAACTTCACGACCCCATTCGAATCCTCTTCCTTGAACCGTTGTCATCTGTTGACTCTGTGCAAAGTATTCAAAGAATCCCCGAAGTAACATACCCACAGAGTCATGATTATGTGTTAACATCTTACGCTCTGCCAAAGATCTGATCTCTGCTTCGTTTCTCCAAAACCTCACATCATGACCATCACAAGTAGTTTGAGCTTCTTTTTCGGCAGGAGAAAGATGTGCAGGTGGCTCTTTATTCATGTGCTGAAGATTTGGTAGCACTGGAGGCTGAGCAATGTTCATTAGGTAGTGTAAGACCATTAGTACATAGCCGTAACTTCCAAGCGTACCACGATATGGAGTATTGATTCCTCGAATCTTGGCCCAATGCTTCACAAATAATACTACAATCTTGACTCTTGGGTCACAGATGGAGTACAGTCTGAGAAGGAATGTGTTATGCAAAGCTAAATGATTTGAGAAATTGATATCGCATTGAATTCCAACTTTGTCTTTGGGAAATTCAAGATGATCCTTGTATCGATCTCGAGGTTTATTGGGTGATATTTGAGTTGGGTCAGGGAGAGTACGGATGATCGCTACCAACTTTGCTTGTGAAGAATCAACAGAAAATTGCCTAGAAGCTAGATCACGCAACACTGGAATGTATCTTTCAACGTGAGGTTTGGCTTCCTCATCGTAGAAATTCACTTCAAGAGCATGCTCATAATCTTTCACCAGTTGCAAAATTTGATGTCGGCGAGCTACATCTTTCAAGGTCACTATTCCCTCCATACTTTGCAAGGTATCGCGAATTTGAACATCATGGATACCATCAATGTAGTGTTTAACAAATTTGCCGATAATCTCTTCTTCCGTTAAGTTACGTGGACGGATGAGGTTTTGGGGTAACCCTTTGCCTTCAAGATCTTCCTTGAGTTTTTCGACTCTCGCGAGGTATTGTTTTGGGCTCTCAAACATTAGTTGGTCGAGATATGCAAAACGCAAAGAATGGATCCTCTTCAGTCGTTCTGTGGCGGTATGCAATTGTCTATTGTAAATATCAGACTCGGTAAGGGGTCCTGTTTTATTCCGTAAAACTTTCCATGACTCGAGAACAGCAAGAGCATCAGACTCTTGTTTATCAGTTGCTTCCAACAAAGACCGCTTATCCCATGCCATTGCTAGTCTTTCCCCTTCAATTTGTGTGCAAATCCCATTCAGGGATCGCTGTACAAAAGGTATAGTAGGATCAAATAATGGAGAGATGGAAGGAGAATCGGATAACCGCTTTGATAGATCCTCAGAATGCAATCCAAGAATGAAAGCCCGACAAACTTCATTGAGAGTCTTTGCTTCCTTCATATTAAGCTCAGTCGAGTTCACAGATAAATCGCGCCCGCCATGTTTTCTTAAAGCACGCTTCGCACAAATATGGTAGTCAATAAGATTCTGGTGTTCTTTTTGCTTCAAGCTGATACCCTTCTTATCGGTTTGTTGTGCCTCTCCTTTGCTATTTGATTGGCTTGTGTTGCTGGTAGTTTTGCTCAATGGCTTAGATTTCGAATGTGTCTCTGCTGGGGTTGGCTCAGGAGACTTTGTCGTATGACTGTCTAAGTGCTTGTCGTCTGTATCATCGTCTTGACCTTCGCCCAAACCGCCCTCCCATTTATCACGCTCCGCCAGAAGATCTGCCATCAACTTTGGGATTGGTTTCTCGCAAAGCTTGATGATAGGAACCCTTGTTCTAGTAAGTAATCGTGCGCCGTATCCCAAGCTGAGCAATCGCTTCTCTAATAGCCGTGGTATTTGAGACTCCGAAGACTCTGCAGATGGATTCGAGAATGGCGTTAGAATTGCAAGATCCATATCAGATCCTTTGGTTGCAAAGCCCGAGCTTAAACTTCCGTAGCATTTCAATTGGACTGTCGAAGAATCAAATTCTTTATTGCCACTATTTTCTCGCTCATGTTCAGTAATCGCTGCTTTACAGATCTCTTCGATATGAGCTCGAAATTGCTCCTTCTTGTTTGCCTCATCGACATCAATCGCTATTTTTGGAACACATTCTTCAGCCAATTTGTCCAAGAATGCACCTTGCGCCATCATTTCATCAGTAGTTGCTCCAAAATTTCTCCGTCCTTGTCCACCAGAATTCGAAGGGCCTGGATGATACAATTGTCGATTTTGTGGTGGAGGTCTTTGAGCGAAAGAATTAGATCCGGGGCTTGTTTGATTCATGTTCTGCCAAGAATACTGTAGGTGTTGCTGAGGATATACAGGACTTTGAAACGAAAGATTAGGACTCGCTTGATTTGGAAAACCACCTGACCTAGGAGAGTTATGGTATGCCATTTGAGGGGTATAAGGAGACCTGGACTGTTGATAAGATAATTGTGGAGAGAATTGTCCTTGTTGGTAAGTTTGTTGCGGTCTTTGATTGCTCCTTTGATTGTTGTTGTAGTATTGCGGTGTAGATGGTGCTGAGTGCTGCTGTCCTGAATGGGGTGTGTAGTTTCGGGCTGATGGGCCTGTTTGCTGATGGTGCTGTGGCTGTCCAGAGTTGACTGGAATTGAGAGTTGAGCATTCATTTGTCGTCTTTGTGCTTGATTCATTCTCTTCTTTCCAGGTTGAGGGGATAATGGAGCAGTGTTGCTGGGGATAGGCTGTGATGATCCAGTAGCTTTGGAGGTCATATTGGAAAGGTATTCCTGTTGCTCCGATGGGCTGGCTGTGAGCATGTGTGGTGGTAGTTTGGCACCAGCGGCACCAGTTGCAGGAAGAGATTGCATGTTGATGTTTTCATTATTCGTGATAACATTGGCATTATTGAGAATGAGACCTCGAAGACGATCTTCTAGTCCATTATCACCAAAACTTCCTGTAGGCAGGTGCCCACCTTGATCCTTCCCTACTGGAAGCATCCTTGTAAATATATGATAACAAGTTGGGTTGAAGTTTTCTAGAATAGAATAGCAATTTGATGTTGAAGATTGATATATTGAACAATGCCTCTTCTTATATTTCTAGATGATAAACTACAACCTCGGAAGTAGATATATTCAGTATTCTGGAAGTGGAGTGAATCGAATCAATGAAGACTAATCATGTGATGATTTCTTGAAGCCTGACCTTCAGTATCTTAGATGATTTCTTGAATTGGATGTGAAGAAAAGGTTGAATTGACTTGACTCGACGTAAATGCTTAATCATGAGATACTTTTCTATGGTGAAATCCGATGGAATATGTTGTCGTTGTTGTGGTCGAACAGTTTCCATATATCTTCGTTTGCTTGATTTGTGGTCTAGAATATTCTTTTTTCCTTCTCTTTGGGATGAATGTAGTTGTTGAGATACCCCTCCCTCTCCAAATCAAAAAGTGATTATCAAGAAGAAGCAGGTGATCGTTATTGGTGGTGGTCGATGTGAGATGTAGAATGTGGATAGAAATGCGAATACTTCAAAGTGTATGTTCCCCTCTTCGAAGTCTTCCAAGTGAATGTGATGCAAACAATATATATCGGGCCAGCACAAGAAGCTTTGGCTTTTGACTTTTGGCGCTTGGTACTACG